CCCGCCCCCGGTACCTTGGTTGAGGGGGGACGGATGTGTGCCAGCAGCTTGTACACGTTCCAGTTGTTTTGGAAACTCCTGCAAAGGGGGGGGGGGTGTGGAGCCGGCCGAGCGTGTAGCCGCTCTGCGGGGATGAAGGAGCCGGCGTTGGCGGGGTTGGGGGGGTCCGGGGAGGGGAGGGTCGCCCCGTCCCCGCTGCCGTACCTTGGTGGAGGGGGGACGGATGTGTGCCAGCAGCTTGTACACGTTCCAGTTGTTTTGGAAACGTTGGCGGGGTTGGGGGGGTCCGGGGAGGTCCCCGTCGCCCCGTCCCCGCTGCCGTACCTTGGTGGAGGGGGGACGGATGTGTGCCAGCAGCTTGTACACGTTCCAGTTGTTTTGGAAACTCCTGCAAAGGGGGGGAAGGCGGGTGTGGGAGCCCCGGGGGCGGCCGGAGCCCGGGGGTCCCCGACGGGGGCCGGGTGCGGACGCTCACCGGCCCCGCAGCTTCAGGGCGTCTTCAAAGCGCCCCTCGTTCATCGCCGTCGTCACGTCTTTGGTCTGCGGGGAGCAAAGAGGGGTTGCAAAGATGGGTGGGTTTGCATCGCACCGCATGGCTTTGCATCGCACCCACTGGGTTTGCACTGTGCCGGATGGTTTTGCGTCGCACCGCATGGCTTTGCATCGCGCCGGCTGGGTCTGCAGCGGGACGCATGGCTTTGCATCGCGCCGGCTGGGTCTGCAGCGGGACGCATGGCTTTGCATCGCGCCGGCTGGGTCTGCAGCGGGACGCATGGCTTTGCATCGCGCCGGCTGGGTCTGCAGCGGGACGCATGGCTTTGCATCGCGCCGGCTGGGTCTGCAGCGGGACGCATGGCTTTGCATCGCGCCGGCTGGGTCTGCAGCGGGACGCATGGCTTTGCATCGCGCCGGCTGGGTCTGCAGCGGGACGCATGGCTTTGCATCGCGCCGGCTGGGTCTGCAGCGGGACGCATGGCTTTGCATCGCGCCGGCTGGGTCTGCAGCGGGACGCATGGCTTTGCATCGCGCCGGCTGGGTCTGCAGCGGGACGCATGGCTTTGCATCGCGCCGGCTGGGTCTGCAGCGGGACGCATGGCTTTGCATCGCGCCGGCTGGGTCTGCAGCGGGACGCATGGCTTTGCATCGCGCCGGCTGGGTCTGCAGCGGGACGCATGGCTTTGCATCGCGCCGGCTGGGTCTGCAGCGGGACGCATGGCTTTGCATCGCGCCGGCTGGGTCTGCAGCGGGACGCATGGCTTTGCATCGCGCCGGCTGGGTCTGCAGCGGGACGCATGGCTTTGCATCGCGCCGGCTGGGTTTGCCTTGCATTGGACGGGTTTGCATCGCACCCATCGCGTTTGCACCATGCCGGCTGAGTTTGCATTGTGCCCGCCGGGTTTGCACCGTGCTGGCCGGGTTTGCCTTGTGCTGGCTGCGTTTGCATCGCACCCATCGCGTTTGCACCATGCTGTCCGAGTTTGCGTTGTGCTGGCTGGGTTTGCATCGTGTTGGACGGGTTTGCATTGCACCGTATGGCTTTGCATTGCGCCCGCCAGGTTTGCACCACGCCGGCTGGGTTTGCATCACATTGGACAGGTTTGCATTGCACCATGTGGCTTTGCATGGCACCTGCTGTGTTTGCAACTGCGCCGGCTGGGTTTGCATCACACCTGCCAGGTTTGCGCTGCGCCGGCTGGGTTTGCATCGCATTGGACGGGTTTGCACCGCACTATATGGCTTTGCATTGCACCCGCCGGGTTTGCAGCCGCGCCGGCCAGCTTTGCACGGCACCGCATGGGTTTGCACCATGCTGGTCTGGTTTGCACCGCACCCAGCTCGGGTTTGCATCGCACTGCATGTGTTTGCACCACGCCGGCTGGGTTTGTGCTGCATTGGATGGGATTGCGGTGCACCGGCTGGGCTTGCATCACACCGTACAGGTTTGCATCACACCCGGCTGGGCTCGTGTCACACCGCGTGACTTTGCATCACGCCGGATGGGTTTGCATTGCACCAGCTGGCTTTGCTTTACATCGGATGCGCTTGCATTGCGCCGCGTGGCTTTGCATGGCAGCGGCCGCGCTTGCATCGCCCCGGGGGTGCTCCTGGGGGTCCCGTCCCCCCTACTCACCACCTGGACGCACTCCATAAGGGGCAGGCGCACGGCTTGGTTGCCCGAGAGGCTGACGACGCAGGCGGGGGTGTCGGGGGTCCCCTCCAGCAGAGCCATGACGGCTTCAACACCCATCCGGCTGCCCTGTGGGGACCGGGACGGAGGGACGGGGACGTTACCCCCCCGCGGACCCCCTCTCCCCGGGGGCCGGGGTGGGAGGGAGCTGCCTACCAGGATCCGGTCGAAGGCGGAGGGCGTCCCGCCGCGCTGGACGTGACCCAGGATGGTGACGCGGGTGTCGTATCCCAAACGCTTCACCACCAGCTGCAAGACAGGGATGCGCCTGGATCCGGCCCCGCAGCGGGGCCGGGAAAGGGCTGGAAAAACACCAAACGGGGAAAAAAAAAAAAAGGAGCTTTTTCCCCCCGCTTCCCCGCTCACGCTTTTGATGTCGTCGGAGGTGATGGCCTTGCCCTGCTTGTTGATGGCCCCCTCGGCCACGATGATGATGTTCAGCCTCGAG